GGTCGGCTGCTCCTTTGGCGTCGAACCCAAGCAGGGAGGGCCCCCCTGTGCTGGCAGGTCTCCCAACGCGAGCACGGCTGTCTGTGTTGAAGGTCTCAATGTCTTCATGGCGATGTTGTGCCACGCCCTCCAATCGCCACCACAAAGCTCGGTTCTTCAGGCACCATCCGAGTAATCGGTGCAAGGAGAGGAAGAATAGGAAAGGGAGCGGGGGAACAGAGGAAGTGGCTGAACAAGGGAGAAGAGGGTCGGAACACGATTGTCTCTGTGGTAACGATGATCATGCGAATGATACTAATAATGCTAATGATGATGATGTTGTTGTTGATGATGATGATGCTGCTAGTGATGATGATGCTGATGATGATGCTGACGATGATGCTGATGGTGACTATGATGATGGTTGTAATGATGGGGAAGAGGAGCAGAGGAGAGGGGGAGGAGAAAGTGGCGGGAACAGTGGGGGAAATGCTCAAGAGGGCAAGAGAAGAGGGACACGGACAGGGATAATGACAATACTGTGAACATACGTACACGCATGTACATATGAATCATCTAGGCGGAACTGGTACTAATTCACCACTCCCAAATGTGACCTCGCACGGCTTGAGCAACGTTCAAACATGCGGGCGATATCACGGCGGGGAAACATGCCGTCGCGCTCCTTCCCGGCATAGCGTGCGCCATCCTGGCCCTCCTCCTCGCCTTCCTCCTCCTCGCCCTCGCCTTCCTCCTCCCTTTGGCCCCCTCTCCTCCCCCCTGCTCCTCTTCCCGTCCCTCCTCCTCCTTCCCTCCCCGCCCTCTCCCACACGCGCACGCACACCCCTCGCTCCGCCGTTGGAGCCCCCGCCCCGCGCGCACAAAAGAGCCCCGCTGGCCTCCGAGCCGCCTCCTGCCGGGGACACGCTGGTGAACGCGAAGGCGCTGGCACCGGCCTCGTCCGAAGGGCCGTCGGCCTGGGCGCCGAAGCCGAAGCCGACGAGCAGCTTGTGAGAATGCGAGGTGCAACAAGACACACGAGAAGAGTCAGATGGCAGAGTGAAAGGGCTCATATAGCCCCAAGAGGCCCCCAAGAGGCCCCCGGTGAGCCCCGAGGAGGACCCAAGCACACCGCTCCGCCTCTGCAGAAACTGCCTCCAGGAAATGCCAGCCGTCCAGCGGCACAGCGCTGACAACACCCAGACAAACGACAGCGGCGAGGCAGTTTGGGCCGGCGGAGTGAGCGCAGCGATGAGATCACAAGCTGCGCAGACAGAACCACTCGGATGCCTGCGCGGCTATGCGCTGCCGGTCTGCGCGGATTCCTCGGGCCGGCCCTGCCCTCCCCCCCGCGCCGTCGCTGGGACGTCCATTTCCCGTGCATTCTCTGGCTTCGTGCGTGTTCTTTTGCTCGCTGGTCCAGGATGGTCCTCCAGGGTCCTCGCCGAGAAAAAAACGCACACGTCCGAGCGATGCCGGCGGCGCCGCCTCTGGCGCGCTCCGCGCGCCAGGGAGGAGGGCCCAGAGCCGATCCGAGGAAACCGCGCGGACCTCCACGAACTCACGCAGGCGTCGCTGCGGCGGTGGACAAACCTCCCTTTAGTAAACCTCCCTTTAGTGAAGACAACCCAGGACCGAACCCGACGGGCCTGGACCCGCAAGCATGACGGCCGCAACGCCCTCTCGCGAACCGAAAACGGGCAATTCGCTGATCGACGCGTCAGGGCAGGAGGTCTGTCAACCTCCGACATCTCCGAGCCCGGCGGCCCACCACTTGTTCTCCCCCCGCCAGGAACCCCACGTCCGCAGTGCCCCTGCCTGCAGCTTCCTCGGCTTCCTGCCCCTGCCCTCCTCGAGCGTGCCCCGGGGGGTCCAGTGGCGTCATCGCCTACGGATCTGAAGCGAGACGGAGGGGCGCCCGGTGCCCAGGCAGGAAGGGCCCCCCCCCCGTGCTGGCAGGACTCCCCCGTGCGCCAGTCTGGCCTTCTACGCCGAAGCGCTCCTGCCTCGTTCCGGGGACGTTGGGCCACGCCCTCCAGCCGCCTCCCAGTCGACCTCGCTGTGGCGATGTTGGGCCGCGCCCTCTCGCCGCCCTCGCTGTGGCGATGTTGGGCCGCGTCCCGTGGACTGCTCTGGGGCCGGCCCGGCCGAATCTCAGGAGCTCCCGGCCACGCGCGAGGGGACCGCTGCCTGGGAGGGGGAGCGGGGGAGACGAGGACCGCAAGGACGAAGGAGGATGTCATAGAACTAATGGGTGCGTGATGTGGAGGAGGATGAGGACAAGGCGGGGTCTCTGAAGGAAGAGGAGGACGAGGGCAAGAGGAGAGGAGGAAGGAGAATGTCAATCAACTGTCATTTGTGTATGATGTTGTGTGGTAATTGGTCCGCTCTCAGGGACGATCTGGAACGATTCTAGCAATGATCAGAAATGCTAGCAACATCGAACAAACAGGGCAAGAACACATGCTGTCGCGGTCCTTCCCCGCTGAATCTGCGTCGTCGTCGTCCTCCTCCTCCTCCTCCTCCTCCTTCTTCTCTCCTCATCTTCCTCCTCCTCGTCCTCCCTTGCCTCCAGCTCATCCATCTCCTCCTCCTCCTCCTCCTCCTGCTGTCCAGGCGAGGTCCTGGTTCACCAGCCCAACTTCTTTGCCAGGCAGTGGGCCGGACCAGGCCTTCTGGCGTGGGCTCGCTAGTTCTGGAGCTGCATCGGCCAGTCTCTGCACGGGCAGGGCAGCTGCAGGCCCCACCATCAGTTCCGTCGTGTTGTCCCGAGCCCACCCAATTCACCTCCAAGTCCCTGAAAACAAATCCTATTCCTCCGCTCTCTCTTCCTCCCTCCCTCGCAGCGTGGCTGCTCAAAGCGGCTGTCACACACGTGGGCTATCCAAAACGCTGGCCCATGCCAGAAGTTGAAAAGCGCAGGCCACAGGAGAAGGAGGAAATGGGGAAAAGGGACAAAGAACGGAGGCCAACGGAGCGGCGGAAGCCAATTGCGCCGCTCTGTTGGCTTCCGCCGCTGAGCCTGCGCACCACACAGAAGGCCTCGGGAGGTGCCAGAGGTGCCCCTGGCCCTAGGTGCCCCCAGGACTTCCAGGGAGGCCCCCATGCTGCCTCCAGAGCACCCCCACGAGGTCCAAAAGGCCCCAAGGGCTCCAACATTGAGCGAAAAGCTGGGGGCACTTTCATGCCATCGCTCGGACGTCCAATCCCCGTGATTCTTTCGGCTTCGTGCGTTTATCTTTTCGCAAGATGATTCAAGATGCTCCTCGATTGTCCTCGCCGCGAAAGCATGCACAAGTCCGAGCGATGTCCAGCCTCAGGCGAGAGTGGCACCTTTAGCAACCCCCGAACAGAAAGCGAGAGCCCCGTCCGCCTCGGAGCCACCCCCCGCCGGGGAGCCGGTGAACGCAAAGGCGCTGGCGCCGGCCTCGTCTGAGGGGCCGTCGGCCTGGGCGCCGATCCCGGATCGCCGCCCTCTATGGAAGAAGGGAGAGCTGCACAAGCACAAGGCCAAGGGGCCCAGGGACACGCAAACGAGAATAAAGGCACGAGTCTCAGGATGCCCAATGCTCTTCCATGCGTTCTGGATGTTCGTCGCAATTCCCCATTCGTTTCCAACATTTCCCTGGGAGGCGAAGCTTATTGGTGCCTGTCTATGGTCCCTTCCTGGATTAGAAGAGTAGAACAAAACGGCACAACCAGAAACCGTCGCGGGTCCGAACGGATTTCATGGATCGGCGCTGGGGAGCGCGCCAGGGGAAGCAAAATACTGCCGCGAACGCGTGACGAATCAAGACGACCTCAGTGAAGGGGCCCTGGGACACACAAATAAATACACACACACATCAAAACATATTCCCCATATTTTCCAATCTTTTCTAGGTTTTTGTCTTCCCCCTCTTCCCATATTTTCCTGGGCGTCGACGATTAATTGTGTCTGTGTGTTTCTTCCCCTCCTGACTCAGGTCGGCTTGATTGTCACACGTTCGCGGCAACGTTTGCCATTTCCGACGTCGCTTCGCAAACCCGTCTGTGTGCCAGACGGAACCGTGATCCACGGCCTGGCCTCCAGAACGATCACGTGCCGATCATGGCTCGGATCGTGCAACTTGGCTGGTTCTATTACGTAAGCTCAGCTGTCAACAATGATCGGACGATCATGTTTCAATGGTACAATTGGCTCGACATATGTGTCAACAATTTCTGAACATCTATCGGCCCTCGATCCTGAAACCTGTGTGGAACAATAAAGTCCTAGAAATCCGGGACATCCGGGAAACGCTGGAGCGTATCATTATCATGACTGCTTGCTTCTCTGAGTTAGTCGAATAACGTCCTTCCTCCTTCTCCTCTTTGTCGTCCACGTCTAGCGAAGAGGGCGGGAGTGCCCAGACTCGTCGAACCACCCAATCGGATCGGCGGTCAACAAGGATTGGATCGGCGGAGATCTGAACCGAGTCGGGAAAAATCGAAAGGCTTGTCCGTTCGAGTCGTCGTCTCCGTCACTCGTTGGTCGTCGTCTGCCATCCCCTTTCCCTGCGCCCCCCCCTTTCCCTGGTCCCGTCGCCGCTCCCCTGAAGGAGCCCTGGGGCACACAAGTAAATACACACAAATAAAAGGCTTCCCATGTTTTCTGGGTTTTTGTCTTCCCCCCCACTTCCCATCTTTCCCGGGGAATCGACGACTCATTGTGTCTGTGTGTTTTCTTCCCTCCTGACTTTCCCTGGGCCCTGCTCCTCAAGCGCTGGGGCCGTCGACGCTCCCCCGCCCCCCCCCCCCTTCTGGCCCTCCTCCTCGAGCGCGCCAGCCAGAGCGAAATGGAGCAACGTCGTGATTTACTGGAAGGGAGGCTTCTTCCCTTTGATGCCCCTCCCCGCCGGGAGAGGGGGGGGGTCCCTGGGGTGGTCCCGGGGGGGGGAGTCCCGGGTCAGATACTCTCCCCCCCGGGGCGTCCCGGGACCCAACAAAAATCTCCAAGACAGGCCCCCAAGAGGCCCCAGGACGGTCCAAGAGGGCCCCGAATCGCCGAACGATCTGGCCAAGACGCCTTGACGGCCTCGAAACGGCCCAAGAGCCCTGCAAGACGCCCCAAGCGGCCTCCAGGAGCACTCCTAAGAGGGCCCCAAGAGGGAGAAACACTGATTTCCCATTGGTTTTTCATGCATTTCGGCGTTCTCGCCGCTTCCACTTCCCGACGCTCCAAGACGGCCCAAGAGGCCCCCCAGATCGCTCCAAGACGGCCCACGAGGGCTCTAGGAGGGACCCAAAACTGCCCAAGAAGGCCCCAGGACGGCCCAAGACGCCTCCAAGACGGCCCCCAAGACGGCTCCCAGAGGGTGCCCAGACGAGGGGCCAGAACGGACATTTCGAGCCCTCGGCCCGAGAGGCTCCCAGGAGGGGCCAAGAGGCCCCCAAGAGGCCCCCAAAGGCCCCCCAGGAAGCCCCGAGAGGCCCCCAAGAGGCTCCCCAGAGGCCCCCAAGCGGCCCCCGAGAGCGCTTCGAAGAGACCCCAAGCAGCATCCATGAGGACTCGGACCCACGTCAGCGTCGTTGTCGTCGCCGCCGCCGTTGTCGTCGTTCCCCGTCAGGGTCGGCGGCACCGGCCGCAAGGCCTTCGCAATTGGATCGGCGATCGACATGGATCGGATCGGCGGAAATCTGCAGCCGAGTCGGGAAATCGGCAAGGCCTCCGTTGAGAAAGCGGAATCCGCATCGGAATCCGAAGCCGAATCGAATCGGAATCAGGGCTCATCGAAATCGAATCGCATCGATTCAAGGGAGTCGAACGGAGCACTGCCTGCCTCCTTCTTCTCTGGACAAGCGCGTTCCACTACTCGCAAACCAACTACTCGCAAACGGCCTGGGTCAGCCGCGGGGGATCTACGATCCATTAATTACATGGTGGAAGACATGTTTTTTTGGACGTTTGCGATTCGGCACCCTGCGAGTAGTGGAACGCGCTCGGTGATTCTCGTCCTGTCGTCAACAGTCAGCGACGAGGGCGGTGGCAAAACAACAGTTCGGGGCGCTTGGGCCTCCTCTTCCTCCCCGGCCCGCGCATGCCGAGGCACGAGACGTGCGGGGTCCCCACGAGGCACGAGGACAACACCCGGCTCTTGCAGAATGCAGTCGGCCCGCATCACGAGGATGCGCGATGAGGGCCTTGGACGCCCGTTTCGAAGCTTTTCGAGCGGGATGCGGTCAACGAAAGCGGCCAAGGATGGGCCGAGGCAAGGATGCGAGGGTACCTTTGGGAAGGTTGCTCATCCTTGCTATGCGGGTTGACTGTGATCCAGCGTCCCACTCGCAGTTTCCCAACTGGGGGGTGGCCAATTGAGCGACTAAAAGCTACGGGTCTTACGAGGGATGGCATGCCAGCCTTACGCGGCGGCTCACCCAGGCCGCCGGCGCGGCACGATGCATTGGAAACGAGGGCGTTCACGCGCGACCTCAGGCGTGGAGTTTACGTGCCAATGTTGGTGAAGACGAATCTGCTTTCTTCCGTCGTTCACTTCTCTAGATCCTCGCAGGTTTGGGCTGCGAGCCTGAGCAGTGGTCAGGAGCTGCGCATGTCCCTGAGATCATGCAGGGACCAAGCAACGACCCTTCCCTTTCTGCACCCATCGCCCCCGAACCCTGCTGCGCGTCACTCGGCAACGCGCGACGGATCATGAACGACCTTGTTCGGCGTTCCTTCGCCATCGCTCAGACATCCACTCCTCGTGCATTTTTCGGTTTCGTGATCGTTTTTTTTTGTTTTTTTTTTTGTTGTTGTTTTCTCTCCCTCTCTCTCTCTCTCTCGCAAAACGGCCCAATATGCTCCTCGATGGTTCTTATACACGCGTCCGAACGATGCCAAGTTCCAGTGCCGCCATCCCCTTCAAATCTGCACCTGCGCACGCGGTTGGGAAGGCGGACGCCTCCCTCCCTCCTCCCCCCCCTCGGGGGCAGCCGAGAGGGGGGCGTCCAAGAGGGGGGGCGCAAGTCAGGGCCGGCGGCACGCGCGCGGCCCACGGGGAGGCTGGGGACGTATTGAAACAAGAAGAGGCGCCCTGAAACCTGGGGAGATATCGTGGCCACCGCCGTGATATCCACCCCCCCTTCGTCATCGCCCCCGTCTTTGCCGCCCCCGATGGCTGGGAAGGCGCACGCTGCCCTCCTTGGGCGCCCGAGTTATCCGGGGTAACTCGGGTCCGGGGAAACTCGGGTTTGGATTCCCGAAAAACCAACCCGAGTTAGCCCTGACCCGAGTTACCCCTGATGAATTGGGGCTCTGGGCGCCCGAATTATCCGGGATAGCTCGGGCCCGCGGTAACTCGGGTTCGGAATCCCAAAAAGCGAACCCGAATTAGCCCTGACCCGAGTTACCCCTGATGATTCGGGGCTCTGATCACCGGGGCTCTGATCTCCCTTCCCCCCCCCCCGCGCCCTGCGCCCGTCCCCCCCCTCTCCCTCCCGGCGTGCCGGCTCTTCTCCCTGGCACCCGCCCCCCTGCGCCGCTCCCTCTCTCCCTCCTCTCCCTGCTCCCCCCCCCGCTCGCGGCCGCGCGCCTCCAGTCTCGGGTCCAGGGCGGGCGGGTCTGGGGGCTCAAGGCAAAACCCGACCCCCCCCCCTGAGGGAGGGTCCTGGAGGAAGGGGGGGCATCCCAGCCCCCCTTCCCCCCTACCCCCCCAAGCCCCCCTGAGGGGGGTTCGGGGCTCCTCCTCTGGAGGGCAGAACAAAACCACTCCCATAATTCGCCGGCCCAACGGGCCAGGGGCGTGCTAAGATCTCTGGTCACTGGTTAACAGTAATTCTAGTTCGCGCGCGCGGGGCGGCCCCTGGGGGTCCCCCGGTGATAAGTACCCCGACCGAAGCCCGGGAACTATTACTCAGAGATGGTTTCCCTCCTGGGTGCGGCCTTCCACGCCCCCCAGAGCGCGCCAAGAGGGCCAAAAGAGGCCCCCAAGACGGTCCAAGAGGGCTCCGAAACACCGAACGATCGGCCCAAGACGCCCAACACGGCGTCAAGACGGCCCAAGAAGCCTCCAAGACGTCCCAAGAGAGCCCCGACCCTTCCCAAGAGAGCCCCAAGAGGCAAACATTAATGATTTTGCTTAGGTTTTTGAAGGTTTTTGGCTTCCTCGCCTTTTCGCCTTTCCGACGCTCCAAGACGGCCCAAGAGGCCCCCAAGACCACCCCAAGACGGCCCAAGATGCCCCCAAGAGAGCCCCAAGACCGCCCAAGAGGGCCCCAAGACAGCCTAAAAGGCGCCCAAGAGGGCCCCAAGAGGGCCCAAGATGGAGACCACGAACCGAAAATCCGAGCCTTCCGCTCCAAGAGGCCTCCAAGAGGCCTCCAAGACGCCCCAAGAGGCGCCAAAAGGCCCGAAAGAGACCCCCAAAGGCTCCAAAACGGAGCCCCACGAGGCCAGCCGCGCTCCCCTCAGCAAAAAGCTCTCGGCGAAGTCGCTTACTTGCGCCCCCCTGCTGCTCCATCACTCCCCTCTGGCTCATTTGCCTCCTCCCCCTTACCCCACTGAAGCTGCACACTCCCTCCCCCGCCTCCTCCTTTTTCTTATCCTCCTCCTCCTGCTCCGCTTTCCCATTCCTTTTCTCGCCAATGCACTGTCGCCCCTCTGCACTGCGACCACCCCCTTTTTGCTCCCTTCCTTCCAAGCCCACGCACCCTCTCTCTCTCTCTCTTTCTCTCTCTTTTCCCTCTCACGTCGAGGGGCATACCTGTCGCAACAGTTACACTGTGTTCATGGTCCCCGCATGAACGTTCACGAGCAACGAGCCCCCACAAAGGCGCCAGGGACACCCCAGAGCGGCACAACCTAGAAGCCCCGTGGAAACAACGATTCCCCCGACACCTCAGAAGGTCGATACGAAGCTGTTTCGCGGGGGCAGCTTCAACACCACCATCCCGAACGCAACGCCTCAAAAAAAAACATGCGCCGACCCCTGCAGCTCCGCACTGCCGACGAACCTCTCGCCCAATCGACCGCGGTGCCTCATCATGGGCCGGCGGAATGAGCGAAGCGATTAAATAAACATCCCGACGAGCGACGCCGTTTGGTTAAACGCACCCAGGGAAGGGATCGAACAGGGCAGGGCTGTTTCGTGGACGCAAAGGGCCGTTTAGTGTATAAACATTACTGTCCCCGTCCCCGTGCTGCTGAAAAGCTGTAACCGCTTCTTCAATGACGATTTTTTCCTCGTGGGTACTCTTTTCGATGCCCAGAGCTTGCTCCATGCTTTCGTGGTCGTTTTCTCATTCGGCGTTTCGACATGGGGCGGGCAGGGGGGGGGGGGAGGGGGGGGGTCTGGCTCTAGACCTCTGCTTAATGCGCCTGTTTTGCAACAGTTCGTTCTATGGGGGAGACCCCACCTGCTTGAAATAGGCGCCAACAACAGCCAACTGCTACTCCACCGGGGGGGGGGGGGAAGGGGGGTGCGAAGGCCCGCGCCGATCGGCAAAACAATGAATCAAAGAACGATTACTTCGCTATCCAATGTTTGACTTCGCTCCCGGCTGTCCTGGAGGCACAACTTGGTTCAGAAAAGGTCTAGGCACTGACCAACTGGCAATATCTCAATGGAAAATCCTCCTCAACCGCGACGTGCCCCCACTGGAAATCAACCCTGCTCGTTTGCACGCACGTGGCAGTCGGTTGGGTGCAGCGAGAGCTCCCGGCTGAGCAGAGCCCTCCAGAGTGTGAACAGCGTACGGCTCATGGGCGGGCATGATCTACAGTTTGATCATCTGCAAGGACGAGGATGATGATGAGGAGATGGACGGGGGAGACCAAGAGGAGGGGGAGGAAAAAAGGGGGGAGGACGACCAATTGCGATCCACTGCGTGTCTATCGCTTCAAGCGCCGCGGCAACAACAATAACACCAAAGCGGCCCTCCGGCAGCTCTGCGTTTGGACTGGTGTTCGCCATACGACGAGGTAACTTCCAGAGTCGCCCTGCAAGGGAAGGGCGATAGAAGAAACAACTGCACGAGCAGAAACTCTCGAAGGTCCTCGCCGATCTTTTGGATCTGCGCTGGACCCCTCCCTGTCGCGCGGAACGCCCCAGGGGCGGCGCCGCCGGCGCTGCCGGGCGGGCCCAGCGCAGATCGGAGGAATCCACGAGGAGCGTCGAGAATTTATATATGTGTGTGCATGTTTTTTCCCTCTTCGAGGGAAGGAGAGGAGGTGGGAAGGCAGCCGCCGCCCCCCCCGCGGTTGCCTCGGGGGACTCCGGCGGCGCTGTGAAGGCGAAGGCGCTGGCGGCCTGGGCGCTCGCGGCCCGCGTCCGGGGGGAGGGCGGCCCCCTCCTGCTGCTGCGGTGCCCAGCTCGGCCCAATGATGCAAGCAGCCTCTGCGGACCTCCCGCAACTAAAGGGGCCCCAGGACACACAAATAAATACACACAAATAAAAATATTCCCTATATTTTCCCATATTTTCTGGGTTTTTGTCTTCCCCCCCACTTCCCATATTTTCCCATATTTTCTGGGAAGTCGACGATTAATTGTGTCTGTGTGTTTTTTTCCCTCCTGATCTGCGGACCTCCCGCAACGGGAGCCACTTGCGAGAGGTCCGCATGTGGCCGCCAGGAAGGGCTCCCAGAGGCCTCTGCGGACCTGCTGCAGAGGCCGCCGGGAAGGGCTCCAGCAGCCGGGAAGGGCTCCTAGAGAAGCCTCTGCGGACCTCCCGCAGGTGGCACCGTGTGCAGGAGGGTCCGCGGAGGCCGCCGGGAAGGGCCGGCGTGTCCTGCGGCCCCGCGCATAATGGAGCCACCTGCGGGAAGTCCGCGGAGTGCGGACCTCCCGCACATGGGAACATTCGCGGCAGGTCCGCAGAGGCCTCTGGGAGCCCTCCCGGGTGGCCCAGGCGGACCTCCTCGGCGGCCTCTGGGAGCCCTTCCTGGCGGCCAGTGCGGACCTCCTGCGCCTGGGCCTCGCTCTGCGGGGGGCTCGCAGCTCCTTCGGGGAGCCCTTCCTGGCGGCCCCTCTGCCGACCCTGGCCATCGCTCGGACGTCCATTTCCTGTGTTTTTTTCGGTTCCGTGCGTGGTTTTTTCGCCAAATAATCAAGGATGCTCCTCGATGGTCCTCGCCGAAGGAAAAATGCACACGTCCGAGCGATGCCAAGGACCTCCGGGCAGTGGCTCCACCTGCGGGGGGGCTCGCAGAGGCATCGGGGAGCGCTTCCCGGCGGCCTCTGCGGCCCGCTCCTCCCGCAGACGGCTCCGTTGGCGGGAGGTCCGCAGAACAGCACGCGAGCAGCTCCTGCGGCCTCTGCGGACCTCATGTATGCACGCACAGGTCCGCAAAAGGCCTCTGGGAACCCTAATTGCGGTTGGTCGCTCTCATTGGTAAGGCGACTCCTGCTCGAGAAGAACGTGACGACGAGGAAGACAACGACTTCCTGGGTCAACCCCGACCTCTCCTGGAGCCTAACCGCCTGCCGATGATATAAAAGGACCCCCCCTTTACACGCTAGAGTTGATTATTCACGGCCAAGAAGAGTTTGGTCAGGGGCGCGGGGCGCGGAGGCCAAACTTTTTTACCACTGTGAAAAATTCACCATCGAGGTTAACTTCCTTCTTATGCTGACATAGCAACATCAAGCGAAGCGAAGACGTTTTCGAGGATGTCTCAAGCGAAACCAACAATTGTTGGAGGCAGCCTCAAGCGAAACGATCAATTTTTCAAGGATGTCTCAAGCGGAACCAACAATTCTTCGAGGATGTCTCAAGCGAAGCGAGAGACTTGTCGATGAGAGACTTCCTCCTCCTCCTCCTCCTCCTCCTCCTCCTCCTCTCTCGCTTTCTTTTTGTTGTTCTCTCTCTCTCTCTCTTTCTCTCTGTCCATCTCTCTCTCTCTCTTTGTCTCTGTCTCTCTCTCTCTCTCTGTCTTTCTCCTTCTCCCTCTGGCGCCCTGAACTTTTTTTTAATCGCTGTGGTTTACTATCCACGGAAACCGAGGCACATGAGGCACCCTACACGAGCAGATGAACATCTTAGTTTCCATTGCTTGTTTACACATTAAATTTAATAGGTTTGGAACTTTGGCTTTTCTCCTCCTCCTCCTCCTCCTCCTCCTCCTCCTCCTCCTCCTCCTCCTCTCTTTCCTTCTGTCTGTGTGTCTTTCTCTACTTCCTTCCTTCTCTCTCCCTCTCCCCCTCTGTCGAACTATCGGTATATTTCTGTCTCTGTCTATATCTGTCTTCCTCCTTCTCCCCCTGGCACCCTGAACGTTTTTTTTTATCGCTGTGGTTTACTATCCACGAAAACCGAGGCACGCGAGCTACCCTACACGAGCAGATGAACATCTTAATTTCCCTTGTTTGTTTACAACTTAACTTTAATAGGTTTGAAACTTTGGCGTTTCTTCTCCTCCTCCTCCTCCTCCTCCTCCTCCTCCTCCTCCTCCTCCTCCTCCTCCTCCTCCTCCTCCTCCCCTCTCCTTCTGTCTGTCTATCTTTCTCTACTTCTCTCTCTCTAACTATCTGTATCTTCCTGTCTCTGTCTCTCTCTGTCTTCCTCCTTCTCCCCCTGGCACCCTAGACCTCGATCCTCGATCTTCGATTTTCGACCCTCGGACCTCGATCCTCGGACCTCGCCGCCGTCGATCTTCGGACCTCGATCCTCGACTCTGGGATCTCGATCCTCGATCCTCGGGCTTCGATTCTCGATCCTCGATCCTCGGCTTTCGGTCTTCTTAACATCATCTCCTTCTCCTCCCACATGCTGGCCTCCGGTAGGCAACATTTATAATCCCCCCGCGACCCCGAACTTTATCATCCCTGTGGGATTTATCTCCGTGGGACGCGGTTATTCTGGCCGAGATTTCGAAGCGGATCCAGCCGTGGCCACGAGGGACGACCAGGAGGCCCAAGCAAGGCGATAAGCGTCCGCACCTTCTCACCACCCTCGTCCTCGCCCTCACCCCTGCTGGCGCCGTCCCCGCGGCGTCCGCGCGCGCACGGGGACAAGGACGGCGAAGGCGACGAGGACGAGGACGTGGACGAGGACGCCGACGAGGACGACGAGGACGACAACGACGACGACGACGAGGACGACGAGGGCGACGACGACGACGAGGACGAGTACGACGACGAGGGCGACGACGAGGGCGACGACGAGGACGAGGACGACGAGGACGACGACGACGACGAGGGCGACGACGACGAGGGTGACGACGGCGAGGGAGACGAGGGCGACGACGACCACGGCGAACGACGACAGCAACGCGGGTGACGACTGACTATGGCGGCGACTGGCGGCGAGGGCCTCCGCTGGCGCCGCCTCCGCGGCGCCGCAGGGCGCGGGCTCCTCCTCGGCCAGCGCGGGCTGCGCTGCGGGGGCCTCCTCGGCTCTGGCCGCCTCCTGGCGGGCCGCGGCGGGGCGCGGCGCGCCGCCGCTTTCGCCGCCGCCGTCGCCGCCGTCGTCGGCGTCGTCGTCGTCGTCGCCGTCGTCGTCTTCGTCGTCGTCGTCATCGTCGTCGCCATTGCCGTCGCCGTAGTCGTTGCCGTCGTCGTCGTCGTCATCGTCGTCGTCGCTGTCGTCGTTGTCGTCGTCGTCGTCGTCGTCGTCGTCGTCGTCTCACCCATCGCCGCCGCCGCCGCCGCCGCCGCCACCACAGCCGCCGCCGCCGCCGCCGCCGCTTCTTTCACAGCCGCCGCCGCCGCCGTCGTCGTCGTCGTCGCCGCAGCCGCCACCGCCGCCGCCGCCGCCGTCGTCGTCGCCGCCGTTGTCGTCGCGATCGTCGTCGGCGTCGTCGTCACCCTCACTCTCTTGCTGGGGCCGGCGGGCGCCGCCGGCCTCTGGCTCCTCTGGCTCCTCCGGTTCCTCCGTGGGCTCCGGCCCCAGCGCTTCCAGCTCCGCCTTCGCCGCGGCCACCTCCTGCCGGGCGCCGCGCGCGCGCGTGCGCCCTTGTCGCCGCCGCCGCCGCCGTCGATCGTCGTCGTGTCGTCGCCGTTGCCGCCGCCGCCGCTCGTCGATCGTCGACGCTGCCGTCGTCGTCGTCGTCGTCGTCGCTTCCTCCACCGTTGCCGTCGATCGCCGATCTTCGTCGGCGCCGGCGCCGCGTCGTCGTCGCTTCCATCGCCGCCGCCGTCGTCGTCGTCGTCGTCGTCGTCGTCGTCGTCGTCGTCGTCGTCGTCGTCGTCTCCGCCGCCGTCGATCGACTATCGTCGTCAACGACGACGCCCGCCCCGTTTCGGCGAAGCCCTCGCACGTCTCGTGGCCCCAAGGGAGCGCCACTGAAGTCCCCGGTGGCAGGGTCCGCATGGTTACAGTCGGACCCAGGCCAGAAACACACACACCCTGCGACAGCGCGAGACCCTCCGCCGCCCAGAATCAGCAGAGCAGTTGAGGGTTACCCTCCTCAGGATGCGCAAGAAGAAGTTGGACAGGCACGACGAACATCAGGGCACCCTCTCCGAGTCGACCTCGATCTCAGACCTCGGTCCGACGGTACCCGCCCCTCTTCGGCGCATCCATCAGGCACTGCGTGGCCCCACGACTCGTCCTCCTGCCTGTGCCCGTCGGGTCCGTCTGACGCCCGACGGACACACACAGACAGCCCAGCCCAATGTTGTTCCAGGAGGTGCAGCGCTGGATCTCTGAGTCGTTCCTGCAAGTCGGCCGCCTACTGCTGCCTCTGTCCCCGCCCTCGTGCTCCGCGCCGCACACGTCGTCACGTCACCCCCCGTTTGTGACTTGGGTCGCGGGGGTGCGTGCCGAGCGTGGTCCGACGTCCTCTGGCGAAGCTATCAGGGGTACTGTGAACCCCCCCCTGAGTTCTTGTGTTCAGAGGGCCTGTTGCCAATTCCCACGCCTTCAGAAAGGGTGGAAGTCTTCCCCAGCAATTGTTCAAACAGATGTGGCTGTTTCAGGGCATGCGGGTCACACATGCCATCCACCAATACCTGGTGCCAACCAAAGTCCCTGTAACAACCTTTGGTGCTTGAAGGTTTGTCATCCCAACCTCCACGAAAACAACTTCAAGACTTGGAAAACCAATGTGCCCAAGCCGGCTCGACAAGATCATGCCTACCCTCGAAGGCTTACACTTTACATGGCACCTTCTCTAACCCCTCCTCTTTACAGTAACACGCTGTGAATCCTGCACCCCTCCCTGCCATGACCCTGTCTGGAAGATAGCCGGTCCTCTCCTTGCAGCTATTTATGCACAGGACCTCAACAGGAATGGCGTTCTCGCCAAAGCGCGGGCCACCCTTCCGGGTCCCAGTCCCTCCTCGTCGTTGTCGCCCGTGCCTTCCCCTCCTCCGTCTTCCCCTGGTCGTCCTGCTCCGCCCGCTCCTCCCACTCCAGTTCTCGCTGCAGCTGTTCGTCCTGGTCCTCCTCTCCCTCCTCCTTCCCCGTCCTCCTCCTTTTTTCCTGCTTGTCCTGATCATCCTCTGCGCTCTGCCACCTCCTCCTCCTCTTCCCCCTCCTCTGAAGGGGCCCTGAGAACAAATAAGTACACACACATAAAACCAATCCCCATATTCTCCCATATTTTTTGGTTTGTTTTTGTCTTCCCGCCCACTTCCCATATTTTCCCATATTTTCTGGGGAATCGACGATTGATTGTGTCTGTGTGTTTCTTTCCCTCCTGACCCTCACATCCCTTCGCAGCTCCCCTTCCTCCGATTGCGCAGAACGCACGCTGGGTCTGTTTGGAGTTCCAAGTCAGCTATGTCGTGCGTCCGCGGATAGAGAGGCAAATCAGCGGACTGGGAAGGGATGGGCGGGAAGGGGTAGGATGTCAGAAATGGCGCGAACGCACCTCGCCTGCCTCTCTCCTCTCTCCTCTCTCTCCTCCTCATTTCTCCTCCTCGCAACTCCCTGCTCCGATAACGCATAACACGATAAGGGCTCCTCTTTTTGGGGGGCCCGCTATGACACGCGTCGGCGGGTAGAGAAAACACACCGCAATGGGAAGGGATGGGTGCGAGGGGTAGGATTTCAGATATGGCGCGAGCGCACCTGGCTTGTCTTCCTCCTCTCTCTTTCCTCCTCCTCCTGTGCATCTCCCTTCCTCTCTCCTCCTCTCTCCTCCTCTAATCTTCTCCTCTGTCCCCCTCGGTGGCGGCCGCCGGCAAGCACTGTTGCGTTGACGAGATGGGGCCGGAAACGGGTTGGGGAGACAATCGGGGCTACTGGCGCTCAGAGCAGCGCACGGGAGCGAGCCCGGAATGGAGCAAGGGAGCAAGATGGCGAGGATGGGGACGAATCGAGAAGCGCAGTCTCTTCGCTTCTCGCTTCATTCCCCTGGTCCCGCTCCTACTCCTCCTCCGGCTCTCGGAGAGGAGTAGAACAGTAGAACGAGAAGGAGGAGGTGGGGTAGAAGAATGTGAAGAGGAGGGGGAAAGGGAGATGAGGTGACGAGGAGGCCAACTGAGGGTAGAAGACGAGGAGAAGGAGAAACAAAAAGGACGTGGAAGGGGAACGGGGAATGACGGGGAAAGGGGTAGTCGCAGAGGTGTAGGAATGCCACACATTTCCAGCTGACATTTATGGGCGAGCTGGAGACCGTCAAACGCATGCTTAGGTAGGAACGCGATCCTGCTCCAGAGCTTTCCTTTCTTCTTCCAGAGCCTGGGACGATGCCAGACAAGCAGGGCATGGACGAGAAGCACAGTCGATGGAAGGAGGATGACAGACAGACGCACATATACAGCACGCACAGACACACACACACATAACACAGACAGACAGATAGACAGACAGACAGACGGACAGACAGACAGACAAACAACACACACACCACACCAGACACAACACACGAGACACAACACGCAATGCACAACGCATAGCGCACAACACACTCAGGCACGCACACAGACACACACACAGACACACACGCACGCACAGTTCAACAATGCGACACAACACACTATGATCGTGGACACATTCGTGTGCATGTGAGTCTTTGTGTGATGCCTGCGTGCATGTACGCACTCTCACGCACTCTTCTATCTTCCCTCCCTGAGGTCCGCTAACCCAGGTCTTCCCACGCCGTGACAAGAACAACAATAAGGGGCGTGTTGTAATTTTCGGTACCTAGATGCCCTCGCTGGGCCCCGGGACAATCAAACAGCGACTCAGGATGCATGGCCGGTCCCGGGGAATCGGTGGAAGAAGCCTTCGGGGATCGACGTTTGGAACAAACCACGACGTCGGCGGTCCGGGTACCCCACGCATGCAAGAGACTCATCCGCAACAGGGCCTCGCCTGACATATCCGTGCAGGCTCTGTGCACGATACCCGGCGGTTGTGGCCCAACATGTGGTAATGCGGGGGTGACCAAACTTGGGGGCGAAGAGAAGGGCCCTAAAGAGACCCTTTAGTGCCCCTTTTGGAGCCAGAAGGTGCCCAAAAGGGGCCCCAAATGGCCCCTTTAGGGTCTTTTTCTTCACGCCCGATTTGGGTCACCCACCATGGACCATTACCCACCCGCCCACTTTTCTTCGGGCTCCCCACACGTTCCTCGATTTTCCCTAAGCGCCTCCGGGTTCCTCGCCCTGCTCTGCACACCATTGCGTTACAGCGTTGTGCTGATGCTTTCGTTGGCATCTCAGTGCAGTGCTGTGCCCTGTAATTTTGAAACAACTGGCTTGACAGACGTGTGTTCATACTCCAGGCATCTCCGCCGATCCACAACCGCGGTGCGTTTGCTTCAGGATCTTGGTGAGAAGTGGCTCCAAGATGCGTACTCGGATCTGGAAGCGTTTGCAACTACACAGCCTGCCACTTGTTTCCTCCGCGTGACTCAACTGCACGATGCGCACATGCAGGTGCAAATCCGCCCACATGTCCCTCGCATTGTCCCCCTCCTCGCCCCACAGAGCGTTGATTCTTATGAGCTTGTCGGGCAGCTGGGCGCCAGATGAGAGCGAGGGCTACCCGAACAGCCTGTGGGGGAACGCAGAAATACCGATGCCGCCATCCCCGGGACCTCTCCCTGAGCGTTCTGACCAGGATTTCGAGGCGAATCCAGCGGTGGCGACGCAGGGGACGGGCATCGGCATCTGTACCTTCTCCTCCTCTAGGTCTGACTGCGCTCCTGTGCGAGCGTGGCCCGAATGGGAGGGCGCCAACTATATTGAAGGGGCCCTGGGACACACAAATGAACACACACACACACACACACACAAATAACAGGATTCCCAATCTTTTCCCGTATTTTCTGGGTTCTTGTCTTCCCCTCCACTTCCAATATTTTCCTATGTCTTCTGGGGAATCGACGATTCATGGTGTCTGTGTGATTTGTTCCCTCCTGACATGGCACGAGCATGCCATTGTCGCAGGCCCGGCGCTGAAGCCCCCTCCTTGGCGCGCGGAGCGCGCCAAGGGGCGGCATCGGAGGCGTCGCTGGGGGGCACCAGCGCCGACGCGAGAAATCCGCGCGGCCCTCCGGAAGTTTAGGATCCTGTCGGGGAGACGTAAGACTCGGGTACGGGGGACTCGGGTTGGCCCGACGGGGCCATCATAAAAATGGCGAGGCCCAATCTGAAATTTGACGCGACCTCCCGCTGCAGACATCCCACGAAAACTGGACCGTCAAAATCCGGGACGCGCTCGTCAAAAAAACGTCGGCAAACCCGAGTTCCGGCTTACTCGGGTCTTGCGTTCCCCCGATCCTGGCTGGACCTCGGACAAGGAAACCTCTCGGAGATGGACAGAGCCCCCTTTGATAAAACGTGGTTTGGTGAAAGTGACCTCGGGCCCAAACCTGGCGGGCGCAAGCCTGGAAAATGACGGCCGCGGCGCCCTCTCGAAAACCGCAAACGGACAATTCACTAATCGACGTGTCAGGGTGGGGGTTCTGTCCACCCCCGAACATCCTTCAAGAACATGAGACCCTCCGCCGGCTAAACTGAAGCGCGTTCGAGGGTACCCTCCCTCAGGATGCGCAAACGCATCTCGCAAACACGAGAAACTTGAGGGCACGTGCCCTCCTCGAGCCCACCTCGATGTTACACCACGGTCCGACCGTATGCCATGATCTGTTCCCCGGTGCATGGCCGATGCTACCCCCCCTCCAATCCCCGCTGGGGGCGCGCGCGCATCAAGCGGGCGCGATAGCCCAGCGCGCCGGGCGGGCGCGGTGCCGAGAACGTGCGCGCCGAAGCCGGGCGCGCCGAGGCGCCGAGGGGCCACCGAGCGGCGGACACGCCCATCTTCTGGCGGCGCGCACCAGGGGGCAGGGGGAGGGGGGAATGCTTCTTGGAGGGAGGCTCTGTCTCAGAAGGCGCCGGCGCCTTGTTGGGCCGGCGCCTCCTAAGACAGAGCCTCCCTCCAAGAAGCATTTCCCCCTCCCCCTGCCCCCTGGTGCGCGCCGCCAGAAGATGGGCGTGTCCGCCCGCTCGGCTTCCCGCCTCTCCCTGACCACCCGTGCGCCGTCCGCGCCCTGGGAGCCTCCCAGATGATTTATCCCGACTGCAACAATGATGAAACACGGCCCGCAGAAAGATGCGGGCGAGATCGGGCGGTACGACTTGCAGCGTTGCGCATCTGCGCACATTGTCCTGCAGCCGACTCGCCCGCCAGGCTATGCGTCGGAAGCCTCCCAGATGAGGTCCGAGCGGATGGGTCGGAGTATTGCGCCGCATCGCAAATGCATCGGCGATGCGGCGCGACCCTCCGACCCCATATGGGAAGCCTAGAAAATGATTATCCGCGCCCTCACGGCAGGCGAGCCCAGAATCGAATCGATAAGTCGAACATGTGATCGAAATAGATCGCATCGGCGGAAATCGGCAGCCCAGTCGGGAGAAGTCGAACCGGCGAGACTCGGCAGGCGACAATATGCCTCCGCTGAGAAGCCGGAACTCACATCGGCAACCGAAGCCGCATCGGCTCGGAATCGGAAGCCGTCGAATCGGGGATCTTCTGACCCGGGTCAATCCAGACCCGGGTCAGCAAGAAACCAAAAACTGCAATGCAAGAAAAAAAACTGCAGCGCAGGTCCTCGCAAACCCGGGTCAGCCAATAGTTAGGCGCGGCCGCCTCGCGGCCACGAGCGGCTCGCTAACCCGGGTCAGCCAGAGGGGGTCTTCGCAGGATCCCGCAGGATCCGGTGCCGTGGCTGACCCCCGTTTGCATTGACCCCCGTCTCGAGGCTCCCGATCGAAATCGAGCCGAGCCGAACCTCCTGGCATCCGAGGAGGAGCCCTGCCGCGGGTCCATGGACTCCGTGGCGCGATCCCGCGGGCTCGCGCTCCCTCGGCGCGCCCGCGCGGCGCGCGGGTCTGGCCGCTCCCGCCTGGAGCGCCCGCCCCCCCCTGCAGGCCACATCTCCTCCCGGTCGGGGGGCGCCAAACGATTTGTTTTTTGTTTTTGCTGCTGCTGCTGCTGTTGCTGTTGGTGGTGGTGATGGTGTTGTTGCTGCAGCTGCATGAGCACGACCGCGGAGCACAAGCGCACGATGCCCGTCGAGGGGCATTCAGCTTCAGATCCGCCTCCCATAGGGGGGCCATGGCCGCATCCCTCGAGAGCGAGCTCGAGCACGAAAGCGGCAGCGCGCTGCAGGGCGCCAGCCTTCAGCGGTGCCTGGGCGCGCCGCGGCCGTCTTCGAGCCGCTCCGCTCTGCAGGCCGGTTCTGTCGCCGTTTCTGACCCTGGCTCCGTCGCGGCCCTTCTCGGGCTCCAGGCCCCGAGGCCCCGTAGATGGGGGACGAGTCGGCCCCCTGTCGCCCAGGTTGGAATGGGGTGGTCTGGTGGGTAGCCAGCACAGGCTCAGGAGGGGGGACGGGTCCCGAAGCAGGCCCGCTCCAGTCTCCAGGCGCAGCCGCTTCACAGCGTGCGGCTCTGCCGCTCCGAGGGGCCCGCCGAGCGCGCGCGCGAGGGGAGCGTGCCCCGCCCGCGGGGCGCCCGCGCCAGGGGCGCCCCGCGTGCTCCCAGGGGGCCCCGGGCGCGGATGCGGAGGTGTCCCCCGCCCCGCGGGGAGCGGCGGTGCCCCCGGGGGCAGGGGCGGAGGAGCACGGTGGGGAGCACCTTTCGGCTCGGGTCCGCACCCCTGCGGGGCCCCACGCGACTGCCGCCACCGCGCCACCACAGGGAACGCTGAAGGAGGAGGAGGAGGAGGAGGAGGAGGAGGAGGGGGAGGAGGAGGGGGAGGAGGGAACGCTGAGCAGGGAGCGACCGGGGCCTTGCTGGCCACGGGGGAACTCGGCAAGGGGCCCCCCGACCCAGATCTGAGGAGCGGCCCGAACAGCTGGAGACCCCTTTCTGAGCCCAGAGCACTTCTTACTCAGACCACCGGCGCCATGATCTTGTCACCACGTGGACCCCTGGAGGTCTCGACCCCTTCCCCTGGGGCCGGCTTCTCGTCCCGAGTCGGTGTTTGACGGCCCCAGGTCCTGGCGAAGCCCCCTGGAGGCCGAACAACCAACCATCTCCCGTCGTGGAGTTCTTTGGGCGTGGCTTCATGGGGGGGTCATAAATGGGGGGGTCAGAAAAGGTCCCCTTTCGTGCCCCTTTCGGGCCCCTCCAGAGCCCCAGGGGGCTCGTTTAGGCACCGTTTGGGTACCTTTTCGGACCACTCTCGCCACCCCCCCATGTATGACCCCCCCATTACGCAACGCCCAATTCATCACGACGCAGGGGGGTCCGGGTGTTCCCGCGTCTTGGCCACACACCAGTCGGCACCTCTCGTGCGCGGGGGTCGTCGCGCCCCGGCTCGTGGGCGCAGGACACGTCCGCACCCGCGGCCTCGCGGGCTGCGTCCCTGGGGGGCAGCGCCCCCGCGGACACGTCGCGTGTTTCCGCCGGTGCCCCGCGCGATACTTAATGGTTGGGCGACATACGACAGGGGGGTGGGTGGAAACGACGTGCACCTTTCGTGCCCCTTTTGGGCCCCAGGGGTCCCCTTTCGGGCACAAAAGGTGCACCCCTTCTTCACTGCCGCCCGCATCTATCGCACCACCATGACTCTGGCATCGCTCTGGGTGTTCTCGGCCGTGGGCTTCCGACGCGGCTGCAGCTCGGCTGTCGCGTGCCTCTTCCGATCTGTCGAGACCTTGCAGCCCTGCATGCAGAGAGTACGTGCAAGCGTGACGTGGCAACAGCATGAGCAGTGGCAGTGGACTCAAAGCTTCAGCGAAAAACAACAATGTGGAGACCGAGAGCGAGAAAGAGAGAGAGAGAGAGAGAGACAGAGCGAGCGAGAGAGATACCCACCAACGAGAGAGAGAGAGAGAGAGCGACACAGAGGCAACTAAGGATACAGAGGGAGAGAGAGAGAGAGAGAAACAAACATACAGACAGAGATAGAGAGAGAGACCAAGAGAGAGAGAGAGAGAGAGATACAGAAAGAGAGAGAGAGAGGGAGAGGCTCTCTATAGGCATATGCATGTGCATATTTATAACTGTTTATCTGATCCATACCAGGCACATGAAGCATAGACAGCTGATCCACCAACAGAACTACGACGGTGCGGTGCGAAACCTGCGACTGCTTGACCAAAAAGGTCCAATTCTGAACGTGGGCTGTGCACGCCACACCCAGCTGGAGAACAGCAGAGGCGAAGCTGCGGATCGCCTCTGCGTTCTCGAAGTCCTCCTTGTCGCAGGCCTGCCACGCTGCGGAGCGGAACGGGAATCCGCCGACCCAGTCGGCGTGTGTGAGAGGCTCTTCGAGGCGAGGCCAGTCCCACCCAAACTGAAGCACGCCAGCCTCCTTTGAGTCCTCGCCGTCGTAAGAGAGGTCGAACCAGAAAAATAAGGAAGATCGAACAACATCGTGATCACGTCGAAAAGAAGCCCCTTCCCTTGGTCCCTTCTTTGATCGTCGGGTGGGTGTAAGTGCGGTAAGAGCGTTGTATATCCGATGAAATCGTTTCAACGAAGATGTATGTAGGTTCATGCTAGTTGACCTCACATATTCAACATATATAAAATATCGAACTTCGCATTCATCTACTTAACGTTTTGTTAGATAAGTATATTCAACAACATACCATACATACTACTCACAGAACCATCCATCTTATCAACTGAGCTATCGGGTACCACTGCCAAGATATATCGATACATACACCTCAACATACCCAACTTAGTAGCTAAGTCAGCTAAGTCGATGTGGGCTGTCCGATTCGGTTAACCCGAAATTTGCATAACTTTCTATGTTTTGCATGTTTATTCTTGATATTGCTATGTATCGGAAAAAAAAAAAACAAAAAAACGTTTTAACAACTACAACACAACAGTTTTTCAGGACAGGGCGCCGCAGGTCGACGCGCCGAGCCGCCCTCAGGACGCCTGCGGGGCGCGGAGGGGAAGGGGGGAGAGGGAGAGGGGGGGGGATCAACTATTCTTCAAACTGCCTCCCCTCGGCGGCCATCACCGCCTCCCCTCTCCTCTCCTCGTTGTCGGCGGCCAGCCCGCCCCCGCTCCCTCCTGCCGCCTTCCCTCCCCGAGCCCGCCTTCCTTCTTCGGCGGCATATCCGCCCCTCCCTCCTGCACCTCTCTATCGAAGGGCGGCGCATCCGCCAGCGGCATATCCGCTCTCGCATGCGCTCGTTTTTTCCTTTTTCACGTGATGGCGAGCACATAGCCATCGTCCTGTAGTCGCCGATAAGCCGCCCAGGCTGGCGGGATCAGCTCGGCGGGCATCACGGCGACGTCGCCGCGCGGCCGCCACAGGGACGCGCCTGGGCATGGCGCGCGCACCCATTCCAGGGTCTCCACCAGCAGGTAGCTGGCGGCGCCAGCCTGCGCGCAGCAATGCACGATGTACGCCTCGCCGTCGCCCAGGAGAAAATCCTGAGGGCAGCAACGCCTCGATTTTTGGGGGGGCACACGCATGTGCACCCCTAAATACCAAGGTTGGTTGCGCCGTCTGTCCTGGCTGCCGTACATCTGGCCGTCGATGGACGCCTCTCTGCTGGTCCACGTTTCAGCCCTGCGGAGGGGTTCCTCCTCCTCCTCCTCCTCCTCCTCCTCCTCCTCCTCCTCCTGGCGGCGAGCCGCCTCGGCGGCAAACCGCCTTCCCCTCTCCCAGCCCATCTTCCTCCACAAAGGGCATGCAAGGTTGCGCCCCGAGTGCCCGAACGTACTGTCCAGCTCTGGCGTGCGCCACGCTTTGGCGCGGGAGCGCGGCGCCTCCTTCGCTTCCTCCAGGAAGCAGGCGAGCATCGCCGTCAAGGCCGACCGCTCGAAATTCTCAGGGTTGTCGATCTCCTGCGACCTGGACCGAAGCAGGTTGTGCTTCCGCTCGAGTACGAAGGCGTCCAACCAGATGCCGTCCTCCGCAGGCTGGTCGGGGACGTGCCACAAATAATGATGCTTCGGCTTGATCAGGGCTGGCCCGTGCGCGGCTTTGTGCAGCGCCAAGGAAATCGAAACGGCCTTGGTCCAGACAGCTATCAAATTCGGCACGGCGCCGATCCTCAGGACGTAGCCGAACCGCTTGCCACCTGAGCGCTCGAGGATGCGCGCGGGCCGACGCGGTGCATCCTCGAACGCGCAGGCCAGCGTTTGCGTTTCAGCTGCGGCCGCATGTCCTTTTGCCCTGCATGTACAAGTCGAGCATCTTCGCCATCGCCTCGAACGACCGCGCCGCAGCGTTCGCCATGCCGCTGGGACGCAGCTCTGTGTGCACCCAATGACGAATCAAAGGGAACACGGCCAAGCAATCCGACGCCTTGCCCACGAAGTGCGACGCCTTGCAGGTCGCTTTCTTCCGAGCCACGCTGAACAGAAACGCTGGCGGTTTCCTGCCGCGTCTGCCAGTCCGCCACGCCGAGCAGCGATCCCGCCACGTTCCCCACGCGTCGGGGATGACATCCCTCACCGCCTTGAGGAGCGCAAAGATTTCGACCTGCAAGGTCCCGCCGCTGGCCAGCATGGTATGCATGGGGTCCCTCACGTATGTGCTCGGCGGCGCCACCGTCCGCAACGCCTGGCACGCCACCAGAGAACGGTCATCCAGAGTGATGCCCATTGCCGTCTCCTTCGGGGGCCGGAACATCAGAAGGGAAGGAAGGGGGGGACATCAGAAGGGGATCGATGGAAATGTTTTCCTCCCTGGCTCCAGTCTCTCGATGTTCGCTCTGGTTGTCGTGTCCCGCAGCGACGCCAAATCATCATATTGCTGCAAAAACTCGTCTGACGACAGCGGGTCAAAGCGCGACGAGTCAGCGCACCAGAGAGGCACGAGGTAATCATCGTCGTCGTAGTCTGCAAGACATTCCGCCTGATCCAGCACAACGTTCTTGCATTGCAAGCACGGTCTCAGACCTGCAGCGCCCTTGGTGCAGAATGTCTCTTTTCCAGCCGCCTCGTCTGCAATCAAGCGGTGGAACTTGGCGAAAAAGTGCACGCCGCCGATTGGCGCACCGTGCTCCGACAGACTCTCTGGGCCCAGGAACAGCGCGCGAAGCAATGCCCGCGCCACGGCCGAGCCGCCGATGCTCTTCTTCACGACGACGCGCAAGGTGCCGATCGGCAGCCACGCAACCTCCTTCTGCAAGAAGGATCCGAACTCGAGGAAACTCGCATACACCGCGAGCTGATTCCGACGATTATCTATCTTCAAGGCGTTGCCCACGCCAATGTCGTCGTAGTACAGCAAAAGCCTCCACGGCCGATCGCGCGACACAGGGAAACGGCGCATCGCTTCCCAAAACATTGAACTCCAGAGAGGGCAGTCCGACAGGAGCCTCGGCATCAGCCGATGCGGCAGCGCCACGCTCCATCGGAAAGGCGTGCCGATCTTGGGCTGCAGCCGCACTGCGCTGATGAGATCGGCCACGGATGCCGTCTGCGATCGCTGCATGGCCCGAGCGCTCACGTCTATAGCATCGCCCGCGTCGTCGCCATGGCCAAGCGCAGTCACGATTCGCTCGAGCAAAGCCGCGGACACGCCGCGCAGGGCCAGACACTGTTGCAGTCGAGCCCGCTGCTCCACCTGCTTGTCCACCTGCAGGGCGCGTTTCCCCATTGCGCCGACGCCCGCGCGCGGGAGGGGCGGGGGCGGGGGGCAGCGCGAGGCCCAGCGCGGTTGAGAAAAACGAATTGCAGCCAGAGAGACGGAAGTGGAGGCGGGAATGGATCGCGGGGCGGAGTAGCCGCCGAAGGGCATGGCGGTGTAGCCGCCTGAAGGGTCGGGAGGGGCGGCGTAGCCGCCGAAGAGCGTGGGGGCGGGGGGGCATGGGGGGAGGGGGGAGGGGGGAAGGGGGTGGGTGGGGGAGATTGCGGAGGCGCGAAGTGAGCGTAGCAACGGAACTTGCAAGGGAGATTTCTTTTTCTCGCACGCAATTTCGAGCTTGAGATTCAAGCTCGGGTTCCAAGCCGCCAGCGCTCGGAGACGGGCGCGGCTGGCGGCTCGAGCTCGGGACGGGCGCAGCGCGGGACGGGCGCGGCGGCGGCTGGCGGCTCTTAGTGCGGGTGCGCGTGCTGCCTCCAACTCCTCATCCACCTCCTCCTCCTCTCCTCATCCTGCCTCCTCTTCCTCCTTATCCTCCTCTATCGGCCCAGCCGATCGCCGCTCAGCTCTCCTGGTGCGGCTGGCGGCAGAAGAACCGAATGCCGCCTGGGATGTCCTGCACCATCTGCTTCGACGTCTGGCACAGCATCTTGCCGCGCTCCTCGGTGCGGCGCGCCTCCTCCATCATGCGCCGCGCCTTGTCGATGAGCATCTGGCCCTTGATGCCAACGGCGCGTGCATGGCGGCAACGATTGCGCCACTCGATGAAGCGCACCACGATGGTCGCCCAGCTCCACGCACTGCCACCCGTGATGAGCTCGAACTCATCGAGGTCGTCCTTGTCCGCGATGCTCGCCATGGCGGCGCAAGACCGCGAAAGGGCACGACCTCGAGCGGCTCCACTTGAGCCACAAAGACTACGGATGAGGGGTGGGACGGTGGCAGATCATGTCATTGGGAAACGCGAGAGAACGGTGCGAGCGCGGTGGGCAGCAAAGGCGGCATCTCCGCCAAATGAAGGCAAGGCGGCATGTCCGCCAAGGGCTTGCGAGAGTGGAAAGGCGGCATCCCCGCCAAACGAAGGGCTGCGGTGGTAACGAGTGGGGTGGCGATGGCAACGAAGAAATGTTTTTTTTTTCAACAACAATAACAATTGTACGAAATCACACACCTCGTCATGAGCGGCCCAACTGCCGCCCCTGCCAAGGAGCTGCTTCGCCTCTGCTTCGTCTCCGACCGCCAATCGATGGGATTCCCAACGGTGTCGCTGGCCTTCGCGAGCCACAGCTCGCGCGGTAGGGTCTCGGGCAGGACGCGCTCGAGCAGGGGGGAGTTAGGCAAGCGCTTCGCCTCGCCAAGTGAGGCATCGGAGCGCGATGAGCAGCAAAGGCGGCATCTCCGCCAAATGAAGGCAAGGCGGCATGTCCACCAAGGGCTTGCGAGAGTGGAAAGGCGGCATCCCCGCCAAACGAAGGGCTGCGGTGGTAACGAGTGGGGTGGCGGTGGAAATGTTGTTTCACCAACAATAACAATTGTATATACGAAATCACACACCTCGTCAGGAGCGGCCCAACTGCCGCCCCTGCTCACGAGCGGCCCAGCGGCCGCGGCTTATTCGGGTCCTTCTCCACCTTTTTCAGGCCGTA